TCTGTTTGCTGTCTGAAGCCTCTGCAATGTGTGGCTGTTGTTTTAGAGCCACGATTGCTTAAGTGCATCCAGATGTTTGTTAGCGTGGGCCATACAGTGCAGGGAAATGATCCAGGTGACACATGGACGGTTTGGAGGCCATGTATTAGAAAGATGTATGGCTCTGATTAAAGTTTGACTTCCTTAGTAATATTATTGTCGTCTAATCCTCTCCTCCTCCATCACTCACACACCAGGTTCAAAAGCAGCAGCGATGGAGTTCTCTAACAGCATGTATGACCTGGGTTCCCCCGTCAGTGCTGGACCGCTGCAGGTCCTTCAGTTAGCTGAGGACCTCAAACTTTCCTTGGAGCTTCGACCCAGCCAGGAGGAGCGAAACAGCCTCCGAGCACAGCTGCCTGCAGAGACGGCGCAGGCTCTTGTAGACTGGCTGCAGAGCGGAGCTGTGAGTACACTGTGTGATTCATTTTGATGTTTCAGTGTTGATCGTCTTCTACAAGCAGTGTTTATGCACAAAATTGTGGCATCAAATGGAAACGTGACTTTTCCTTTGTCTGTATTTGAGTTTGTATCAGTGGATTTCAGTGTGATGGATCGGCTTTGACTCTTTGTGCCATTGTTTGCCCCGTGTTTAGTCTCTGCAGCTGAAAATGAGCATCATTCCACACTGGAGAGTCTGCGCAGCTCATTTTGTTATTCTCGCCTTCTAAGCGTGAGAATTCCTGTGTTCTTGTTCCTGTAAAGCATTTTTATATATTTGTTTCTTCTACTTGAATTTTCAGGCCCTTTGTGTTTGTTAGTGCACGAACAAGGCTGAAAGGCATTTTACATGCACCAAGTCTCAATGCAGCCTTTCCACTTATTAGTGCGGTTATTTAACAGTCTTGGATGTGTATATAGATTCTTCCATGAAAAATCAACAAGTGCATACTGACTGTTTTTTTTTTTAATAGACTGATAAAAATGTTCATGCCTTTATTAAATACTTGTTAAATATTTAATGTGCAAAGAAACCATATTCTGTGGGGGTTTCAGCGTTGACTCACATGTTTGTGGTGATTTCTTCTGTCTGCAGGGGAAACCCTGAGCCTAACAAAGGCATGAACTTATTAGTACGTCTTTGTGTACATGTTCAGTATCTCAGGTTTTCTGACATACTCGGATTACATCTCACACTTAGAAACTCAAGTCATTTTAGCAAGATGACAAGCAAGCAAACACTCCCTTGCTTTCGTGCTGAGGTAACAATTATTGTGTAGCACATACTCGATACTTAATTTACTTGCAATGAACTAGGGCTGCCACAAACAATTATTTTTATAGTCGACTAGTCATGTTGACTAATCAGATCATGCATCCATTGGACGTAAAACATACAGCTTATTGCACCAGCAGCATCTGCTCTTATATAACTATCATTAGCTTATAGCTTTAAGTGTTTAAGGTATGTGCTAACTAAAAATAAAGACAAGATGATAGTTTGTTAAATTTTAATGAAATTTGCAGATTGTTTCAGTGAAGTTTA